GAAAGCACACACATCCCTGTACAAGAGTGACTTTCCCAGGGTTCTGAATTATTGGTACCCAGGCAAATGCTGCTTCTTCTTTAGTGACATTAAGTTGACATTTGATTAATGCAATCTTTACTTCAATAATCTTTTTTCACTGTTATACTGTAATATTCTCATTCAGTTTTGCCCACATTTGCAAAAATTAACACGGCAAAAGCAGAAAGTTACACAGGAGATGACACTAGATGTGTTTCATTAGAAGAGATTTAAGGAAACAGTAAAAGTCAAATCAACTTACTAAATTCTTAAGGGATTTTGGACATTTTAAAAAGCAAAAATGTGCTTAAAAAGAGTTTGAAACACATTTTCTAATATTAACTTTACTCTCTATGTCCCTGAATTGCATCTGTAATGGCTAATTCTAGTTGACATTATAAAGTAGCTACAGCTGCCCCAACTGAAACTCATGCAATAAAACTTCAGCCCATCTGTTGTCGGCTGGTTAGCTTGCTGCCTTTAGTCCCTGTTTATTGCATCCAAGACTACCCTAAACATATAAGGATGCTATATTTTGCATCGCTTTCTAATGAATGGAACAACGTCCAATTCCTATTTTCTTTTTTTAGCATCTTAAATATTTGCAAAAAATTTCCATCCCATTTGAGCAAAAACACGACTAATGACTCGAAGCAACGTTCATGGATGGGGTTATAAGTAGTCCACTTACAGGAGCAAGGCGCTTCAACAATTACCTCATTATCCTCTCCTCAAAAGTATGCAAGGCATTTATGACCAATCACCATCAACTTCAGAGAGTGGGCTAGTCCTTTTTAAACTACTTTCTACTGTCATAAAAAATCAAACCTATGAACAAGGTTGCAGAAGTGTCAAGTGACAAAGTATAAATACTTCATTACTGTACTTAAGTACACTTTTTAGGTATCTATACTTTACTCCATTACTTATTTCTCTTCCTACTTCTGACTCCTACTCATTACATTTTCACACAAGTATCTGTACTTTCTATTCCTTACATTTTTAAAACAAACGTTACTCGTTACTCTTGGCTTCAGCTTAATGTTTATAAATATTTATGTCACTTCATGTGTGCCATCTAATGCAGATCATTGGCGCCATCTACATCTAGTGAAAACTAGTGTAATTGGATGAGTCATATAACGCAAACACTTATTGGTTAGCTAAAGGAAATCATCAGAAGAAAGCAGGTGTTCTTCAAACTGCAAACATGAATTGTCTATGCCATGCTACAACGTCGGATTCAGAAAAAGATGTTGAAATGTCTGAAAGGTCGGACACAGGCGAGAGCGTATCGGGAGATGGAGACCAACAAGACCTCCCTCATCTTTGGCCCTATCTCAAAGAATTTTTCGAAATAGTCGAAAAATTTAACTTTCAATTGATATAGTGGCAACTGGCTGTGTTTTTTTTAAAGGTTACTTTATACTTTAAGTAGTTTTTGGAGCACATACTTTTTCACTTTTACTTGAGTAAAGAGGTCAAGTTAAAACTTTAACTTTTACCAGTGTTTTTAAACTGCAGTATCTAGGGATGCACGATATTGGGATTTTGGCCGATATCCGATATGCCGATATTTCAAAACTCATGTAGCCGATAACCGATACAGATACTGATGTTAAAGCTGGATAAAAATAAGTAGTCATTGAAAATAGCAGTTTTGTTATCCATTTCTGACACTTTGAAAAATAATATACTCAAATATATTTTCATATGCTGATATCAAATTGATTTTTAAAAACGCGGTATCGATCTATTTTACTTTCAAAATCTCGTGAAATTTCATTGTTCTGTTACAAACTTTTTTAGATTTTGTTAGTAAAAAAGATCGATACCGCGTCAATATATCAACATATAAAAAAAATGGCAAAATTTTGTGAATTTTCGGGGGATTTCGTAGCATAATGATGACATATAGAAATATTTCATTAGTAAAAGAGATTGATATGGTGTTTTTAAATGGCAATATGTCAGCATATGAAGATATTGTGATATTTTAATTTATCAATGTTTTTTCCCTCGTCTTAAGAAGTTTTTAAGTCTGTAAAAAAGAAGTTTTTGAGGAAGAGGAAGAAGTAGTATTGTTTTTTTTTATAGACTTTAGAAACTCAGAAGCTGATCAAATATCGGGTTAAATATCGGTGGGGTGGCCGATTTCCGATATTCAGCTTTAAGGCCGATACCGATAGGGGGCCGATTATATCGTGCATCCTTAGCAGTATCTATACTTCTACTTAAGTAACAAATGTGTGTACAGTACCTTTGACACCACTGCAAGGTTGTAACACAAAGCACACCAGAACAATTTGTGCTTTTGTAACCTCAAGGAGACGTATGCCCTTTCAGCTGCTCGCTTAGGAATCGCCAAAGCAAAGCATTAAAACATAGACTTATAACTAAAGAAATATGCAATAAATAAAAGGTACTAAGATAGACAAACACACGGACAGAAAGACAGAAAATGTTTAAATCAAAGCATATTAACTAAAAGAAATTGCCCGTTCAAAGTTTTATATGTAAATCTGTTAGATAACGTGTCAAAAACCCGACAAGAAAACGTGTAATAAATGTATAAATACTGTAGCAAAGCACTGAGATTGCTCTGTGTGATCCATAGGAAATAAACATCTTTAGTAATGGCGGAACCTCTGCTGGTTTTATTCACATTTGCTCCAACCTGTGATGTTGTCTCCTTATTTTATTCATGCTGATATGACAAATTCATCCCATCAAAGAAGTCATTTGAACCATTTCATATAACCTCAGTTCTTTTAATTGTGGACACATAAAGCTGCCGGACACATTCTTGAAAGTAATGTTGCTACACCTGGAGGTATGTGTGTTGTTATGACATGAGAAATTTAATTTCATGCTTCTATGACAAAGTAGAGATTGGATAGATCAGACAGTGGATGTGTCAGAAGCTTGAGGTAATAGAGACAGTATTTTAGGCCTGGTCTCTGGTTCACTGGGCAATTTTTGAATCCTGTGACAGCAGTGACACATGGTGAATTGGAACCGCATGGACAGCTCTGATTTGAGTTCAGCCAGAAAGTAAATAACTCATATCAGACCCTTAAATGAAAAAATCAACCCTCCTCTTTAGAAACAAAAAAGTTGTCCTTTAGTAAGGGAGTGTTACCTACACTTAAATGGAAAGAGTGGGTCCTTGGCATCCTCACTATATAAAATCTTTTTAATATGATGATATACTGTAAGCCATTTATTGACAAATTGAACCAAAGCAGATCAAGTGCCAAACCAAATACTTACAGTTGTTACCCATTTTTACTAATAACTTATCTTATTCCTGGACATTATATTTTCTATCTCAAGAAACAAAACTCATATTTGTTTAAAATATGAATCAGCATGCAATATTTGAAAAAGAAATGGCCTTTTGCTGCTCTTACAAATAAGTAATCTCTAGCTTTGGATGAAAACTAAAAGGAGACAATTGAGACATGAGACGTTACAACATGACTTAATTTATTTATTTCAAAATGAAATGAGACATGTTTTTTTCTCCTATACGACTCCTTCCCGGTTCCTCCTCCACCTACTTCTTTCATGTGATTCTAAAACTAGACCCCAAACACTATGTTCCATTTTTTTCAGTTCAAATTGTTTCATGCAAGCTGTTTGAAGGCAAATTAAGTTAGTGGACCTCATACATTATATAGTGAATGTGGAGAGACTTATCAAAAAGCAAAAGGTCACTAATAGCAGATTTACAAACATTAAGTGTATACAAGATATAAATAGATATCACATCCCAAAAGTTACATCAAAAATTTTATTAATTTTAAATTTACCACATCAGCCAATGATTACAAGCAACATCTAAGTTTAAATACTATTATTGAGAAGTTTTGCCTTCCATTAGTTTCATATTTAAGATGTGTACAAGACATTTATTAAAGTTGACTTTTGGGGAAGTTCTTCCAAACTCAAACAAAAATGCCTTTGTGTCACTTAATTAGCTTAAGGTGGTTCTTTTATTTGAGAAATGTCCATAAATATGACATGAATAGAATATCGGAACGGAGGGAGAAATTATGGCTAATGCTACAATATTCTGAATGCTTTACTTTTTCACTGTTTAAATAAAAAGTCAAATTCCACACAGTCTATGTCAGTCTACGGAGAAATGGTGATGCAAATTTAGATATTAACAACATCAAATTCAGAGCTCTTGAGCATGGCTAATACAGGACTAGGCTAAAATACAAGGGTAAAAGCAAATGTAATAAGCTTTACTGTTATGTTTTGAGATTAGGTAGTTTTTTCATCTTCACTTTTTTTTGCAAATGGTTTAGATACAAACCAAACAAAAAATGTCTTCTTTGCAAAAAAGACTTGTTAATGTGAACAGGACCCATGAGGCAAAGAGTCTGATCTTTAAAACATGTTCGAATTTGATAGCATTCGCAAAGCTGGTACTGGTTTACTAACCAGGTGAAAAATCAATACAGGGAGTCTGAAATATGTCAAGCAGTCAATGCAAAACTTTTAGAAAGTTTCCCTTCATCAATAGGCAAAAATTTGTTTCTTTTACAGTTAACCTGCTGCTCACCCTGAGAGTAGATTATGGTATTTCCTTATTAAGGTCCAAACCAGTTTTGCACCAGTTACCCAATGCATTCTTTGTAGATCACCCACAACACACCCATTTTCTTTTCCCCCAAGTAATTTAGCGCTCCTTATTTGGAATCTTTGAAGATCAGGTTCAAAGTTTGGCTTGTTTGTTTCATCGGTGGCTAAATATTCTTACCTGGGTCATCATGCCTTATCAAAATCTAATGACAAAGAAACGAACATTCTGCTTTATGATTTATCAGATGTGCAGATCCATTTTACATAAAGGAGTTTCTAAATAAAAAAATGGCTCCAAACATTTGTGAAACAGAGTGATTCTAAGCTAAAACAAATAAAGAAAACTGAATTGTCTTAACTACATTTCATTAGAAGATAATAAAAAATTGTTGGTAACATAAATAGTTGAATTTCTGGTCAAAAGGCATGGTTGTCATTAACTTAAAACCCAACATCACCAACCTGGTCATAAAAAAGGAGGCTACAGTATTCGCAGCCATACCTCGGTTGGACACATATCAAGGTTCAACCTCTTAGTAACCAAATGGCTGTTTGTAAGTGTAAAATCCAACGTAGTTTATATTAGTAAAGTAGGCTAGCTCTGAGCAAATTCTAGTAAAATACAACTATAATAGCTTGTCTTCTAGCAGGGAGGAGGGTATGTATCAAAAAGTAAATTATAGACATTAAATCTAAAATCTATGCCATACTTTGTCTTAGAAGCTCTAAAAAACATTTATAAAACTGCTGAGGAAGCAATTCTTCTTTCCAAGAACAACAGTTCCGACCTGTATTTATATAGTGCTTTATAAAGTGTGGAGAATCCCAAAGCTTTTTATACTACATTCACCCTCTCATCCTTACATTCACAAGCTAATAGTGGTGTTTTACATTGTAGCCACAGCTACCCTGGGGCAGACTAACAGAAGTGAGGCTTTCATTCAATCAGCGTCACCATGATCCCTGACCAGCTGACAACCGTAACAGTAGAGCTTAATCCCCTGCATATTATGCTGACTTTATGATAATAAAATGACTCTGTTGAAAGCTTTGGGAATGCATGATCTTAATCTAGATGTATGTTCCAAATATCCCACAGTCAAAGACATGTAAATAGACCTCTTTGAAGAAAAGTGATGATGCATGAGTCATGGAGGAAGCATGAATCTAAAAATGCTCAGGAAGTCCAATTAACCCTTGCTTGTTCTTGTGCTAAACAAAAAGTGTCCATTTCCTTCTATTTGGAGTAACAGTGAGAAACCAACAAAGATACAGTAGACTGCACAGACAGATATAGACCTCTACAGATAACTCATCTTTGTGAGGACTAGTATATTAACAGCAATATCTTATAAGTTACACTGCTACAAAACCGACTTTTGGGGATCAGTCCAACTGGAAATTCAAGTCTCCAAACATATAAATCCGAGTGTTTCCTTGTCTTTGTAAAGTTTATTCTTTCCAGTGGTGAAGATCCATTCAGTCATTTAGCAAGACAAAACATTACATTCCTTGAAACAGTATAAGTTCCAACTTTGGCTTCCTTCCATACAGTGTGGGGATAAAATATTTAAATACAGCTTCCTCTGTGACTTGGATTTCCCATCAGTGTGGAGGTCAGTCACTGAAGTGGTGAATACTTTGGCCTTCAGCAGTGAGACAGCGCTCCGGCAGGAATCTCACAGGTCAAAAGTCTGTATCCAATAGATTTCAGGAATGCTTTACATAATTATCCTCCAGGGAAAATCAACCCAGCAAGTGAAGACCAATTACACAACCCACATCCTTGGCATCTCTAAGGGGTAGATGATTTAAAATCCCAATGTTGAAAGCCGTGTGGCTTTTAGCTTAGTAGAAAGACAAAGGAAAAATAACAGTCAGAATAGCTAAAAAATAAATTCTACTTAATACATCTGATTTTGTTTAGTCTTTACAAGCGGGTACAGAAGTTTTAAGGAATTGTTTTTTGAGGGACAAGTTTCAGCCCCTTTATAAGAGAGAAAATGTACATATTTTCAAGTCAAGTCAAATCTCATTTAATTGTGAGTCAAAGTAAAGTGAAGATGAAGGTCAAAGTATCATCTTCCCACATTAGAGATACAGTATAGTCTCCATAAAAACAAAATAATTCAGATAGGTTGTGAATTCCAATCCTTGACTTGTACTCTGTGTAATATTACCAGGAAAAATTAAACATTGGTCCACACTTCAATAACTCAATAAGATTTATGATCTAATACCTACTAGCTTACCCTGATTACACAGGATAAAACTGCTTCATGAGACTTAAGTCCTAGACCTTAAAGCCCTGAGTCATTCAACAGGTCTAAGTCTCAAGATTATTATTTATGCAACCCAAGAGACTCTGTCTGCTGTTGTTATTTCTTATAAAAGAAGAAGGTTGTTTATTGTATTTTAAATGGGGCCATCAAACCAAAATAATTTACAATATAAAGTTAATGAAGAGGTTTGAGCCTTAGTTTCAGTCTCTCTCTCTCTGTATCCTTCATTTTCATGTCCTATGCCAGGAGATCACTCCTTTTGCTGCACCAGACCACCAGAGCAATCATGGCCAAAGTGAGGAAAACCGGTATGAGAATGAGAATGGTGAGCGTGTCGTCCGGTGGGTCCCCCCATTTCACGCCCTCCGTGGTGCAATTGGAAAAAAAGTGCTTGTGAATGCGGATGATGTAGCTCTCTACCAGCGGGTTGGGCCAGTAGCAGTCGACATTGTGGGACTTTGTCTCTGTGCAGAGGGTGAAGATGTGATACTCACTGTGGAGAAAGCCAAAAAAAGGTTATTAGAAAAGACAAAAGCACATAATTTAAGTGTAAGAGTGACATTATGCAGAGATACATTGGTTGAGACAAACTAAATGTGATAGACAAACTCCCATTTAAACCGTACTGTTGTTTGGCTAGAAATAACCTAATGCTACGTTCAGACCGGACGCTGCAAAAGCAGCAAAATCGCGTCTGCTGCTTCATTTTTGCTGCTTGTACCAGTTAGTTCTGACGCGCGGCTGAAGCAGCTTTGCTGCTCTTGCTTCGTGGTGTGATCAGTGGGAATAAAGTAGTTTTAATATGTTTTTAAGTGAGAAAATACACCTGAAAACGTAATCAGTGCAGTCAGTTCATCCAGATTACAATCCTGCCTCCCAATGTTATTTCTGTCGGAGCCGCTCAGACCCCCACATACCAGCGGTGCGCCGACAGAAGGAAGCCCTTCAACAGTAGCCTCTGGACGGGTCGCCTCCTCGCGGTTTACCGCGGCGGCTGGTAGGTGTTTTTCATCTAAATAATCCGATCTGCAGGCACTAGAATAATAAAAGCCAACATATTCTGCCGGCAGATGTATATATTTTAAGTTAATTATGCGTTAATAAACTGTTTAAGAGGAGTAATCAGAGCGGTCTGTGTCATCAGCGCTGTGTCTCTCTCCCAGCCAGCTCCCAGATCAGCTTCTCTGATTGGTTGACGCGGCGCGTCGAGCAGCAAAAATTAAATTTTTCCATCTCGAGCAGCAACGCGTTTGCGGCGCGTCACGCGCGTCAGATGCCAAAACGCGCCCGACGCGCTGCTTCAGCTGCTCAGACGCGCTGCGCTTGCTGCTCGAAACGCGCCGCGGGACCTTTTGCTGCGCCTTGACGCGCGTCAACCATTGACTTTGCATGTAAACTCGCTGCTTCTGTCGCGCCAGCTGCCCCCGGTGTGAACGCAGCATAAGCCTTTAGGATTTGGTTAGTAATCCATCATTGTTACCAAGGATATACAGCTATTTAATCTCTTTTTTAGACCAGTAGCTTCCTCTTCTGCAACGTTACTCAGAGATGCCCTGAGGCGAGGAGCTCAGCTTTGATTAATTACATCTAGGAATTCCTAATCCTTCTTTCTCTGGTCTGAATTCTTTATCCTGAAAGTACAACTTTTTTTCTCATATAACCCAGGAGCCACTGTTTTTCCAGGTGAAAACTGAGTAGTAGCCTTAGAGCCAAAGTTTAGGATAAAACCTCTTGTCTCCATCTTTGGATCAGAGTAAAGCTAGAGGCGGGGAGATACAGGTGCTGGTCATAAAATTAGAATATCATGAAAAAGTAGATTGATTTCAGTAATTCCATTTAAAAAGTGAAACTTGTATATTATATTCATACATTACATACAAACTCATATATTTCAGATGTTTATTTTGTTTAATTTTGATGATTACAAATGACAACAAATGAAAATCTCAAATTCATCATATCAGAAAATTAGAATATTACTGAAGACCAATAAAAACAAAGGATTTATAGAAATGTTGGCCAACTGAAAAGTATGAACATGAAAAGTATGAGCATGTACAGCACTCAGTATTTAGTTGGGCCTCCTTTGGCCTGTATTACTGCAGCAATGCGGCGTGGCATGGAGTCGATCAGTCTGTGGCACTGCTCAGGTGTTATGATAGCCCAGGTTGCTCTAATAGTGGCTTTTAGCTCTTCTGAATTGTTGGGTCTGGTGTATTGCATCTTCTTCTTCACAATACCCCATAGATTTTCTATGGGGTTAAGGTCAGGAGAGTTTGCTGGCCAATTAAGAACAGGGATACCATGGTCCTTCAACCAGGTACTGGTAGCTTTGGCACTGTGTGCAGGTGCCAAGTCCTGTTGGAAAATGAAATCTGCATCTCCAAAAAGTTGGTCAGCTGCAGGAAGCATGAAGTGCTCTAAAACTTCCTGGTATGTGGCTGCGTTGACCCTGGACCTCAGAAAACACAATGGACCAACACCAGCAGATGACATGGCACCCCAAACCATCACTGACTGTGGAAACTTTACACTGGACTTCAAGCAACGTGGATGAAGTGCCCCTCTTCTTTTCCTCCAGACTCTGGGACCTTGATTTCCAAAGGAAATGCAAAATTTACTTTCATCAGAGAACATGACTTTGGACCACTCACCAGCAGTCCAGTCCTGTTTCTCTTTAGCCCAGGCAAGACGCTTCTGACGCTGTCTGTGGTTCAAGAGTGGCTTGACACAAGGAATGCGACAGCAGAAACCTATGTCTTTCATACGTCTGTGTGTGGTGGTTCTTGAAGCACTCACTCCAGCTGCAGTCCACTCTTTGTGAATCTCCCCCACATTTTTGAATGGGTTTTGTTTCACAATCCTCTCCAGGGTGCGGTTATCTCTCTTGCTTGTACACTTTTTTCGACCACATCTTTTCCTTCCCTTCGCCTCTCTATTAATGTGCTTGGACACTGAGCTCTGTGAACAGCCAGCCTCTTTAGCGATGACCTTTTGTGTCTTGCCCTCCTTGTGCAAGGTGTCGATGGTCGTCTTTTGGACAACTGTCAAGTCAGCAGTCTTCCCCATGATTGTGTAGCCTATAGAACTAGACTGAAAGACCATTTAAAGGCTTTTGCAGGTGGTTTGAGTTAATTAGCTGATTAGAGTGTGGCACCAGGGGCCATCAATTTTGAACCTTTTCACAATATTCTAATTTTCTGATATGATGAATTTGAGATTTTCATTTGTTGTCATTTGTAATCATCAAAATTAAACAAAATAAACATCTGAAATATATGACTTTGTATGTAATGTATGAATATAATATACAAGTTTCACTTTTTAAATGGAATTACTGAAATCAATCTACTTTTTCATGATATTCTAATTTTATGACCAGCACCTGTATCTATAAAGCTTTGCTTTCTCTCAGGTGTTGTATCAGAAGCTAGAACAAACTTTGGCAAAGACTCTGCATTGTATTTCTTTAGGGTTTCCAGAAATTCATGGTTAAAAGGTATATATATATATATATATATATATATATATAAATATATATAAATATATATATATATATATATATATATATATATATATATATATATATATATATATATATATATATATATATATATATATATATAAAAATTCAGTATTTTCAGTTTTTTAAATCTGTAAGATTGTGTTGCCCTAAAATACCCATAGAGATGGCCAGGATGTCAGGTACAGCGTTGAAAGCCTCACTGAGTATAAAATGCTGCAAATGCTGTGTTAGCAAATTCCCCTTTTGCTTGAGCTCATTGATTGCCATTCCATTCACCTAAACTGTTTATGAGGTATGTTTTGAGCCTCACTGCTCTTTTTAACCCGTTTCTCTCCCCTCTCCACAGTGACCAAGGCTTTCAGAGGGTCTATCCGTGCATTAATATTCTTCCTGCTTTTTGCAAAAGGTCCTAGATAAAGTCAGCAGGGGACTATTTGTTTTATATTATTTCATAATTTTTAACAACACACAAAGGCATGGAAAAATTGCTAATTGCTGAAGTTATGGTGGATTCAGACCAAATGAGTTCTGGGTATCATGGAATCTGATTTACTAGTAGGGGTAATTAGTGGAATGTGTGATGCGATACAATACATGTCACGATACTTGGGTCATGATAAGATATTATGACAAAGTGCAATATCGCTATATATTGTGATATTTTACCCAGCTATCGAAATGAATGGTATAGAAAAAAAAAAAAGTTCTGTATATGTGCATCAGAATCTATGTTGTTTAGGGTTTGAGTCAGTACATGTGTTCTACTTACTGCCTCAACTACAGAAATGGTGCAGATAGCCTTCACTCAAACTGTATTACACCTCTTTTTTAAGAATCAAATCTCTTCTGGAGTCTCAACTTATTATGACCTATATTTGATATTATTTTAAGTTTCTTTCACGACCTAAAGTAGCCAAAAGTAGAAACGATCTCAGTCCTGAAGGAAAGTACTACGTTCTAAGACAGAGTGAGCTCTGCCATTTGAGAAGGTCAATAAAGAAAATATAAAATATTCTTGGCAACTCTGGGTGGATCAGCAGTTCAGTATTTTTTTATTTGCATTCACATAGTAAATGTTTTTGAACTGTCATCCAAACAACAGCCTGAAACAAGAAATATTAATCTCCCTCCATATAATCATAAAGTGTGAAATAACATTGCTGGGTGGAATCACCACATAGTAACTCAAAAAGAAAAATCTATTTATGTAATTAAGACCTTATTCAACTATGGAAAAAAATAATTCAAAACTTTTATTAAAGTTAATAATCTTTAACAGACATATCTTAAATATGGATATATATATCTAGTCACATATGAAAGCCTTTATTTTTGAAAGTTGTATTAATATTCAGCAAACCACAAGTAAGGATTGATCCACAAATTAGTATTTATGAGATTTATTTCATTTTGACTTTCTTTCTCACTGTTGGTGAGATAAGCTTGGAACATCATGCAGCCCTTTTTAATTCAGTTGCCAAACTCACCCAGAGCCATAGCTCTGTTGAACCTTCCATCCCACCTGCTCTTAGCAGTAATGATTTTATGGGATTCTTTATAAATAAGATTGATTTTGTCAAAAATAAGATCATAGCCACCCCTCTACAGTAAATATGATTGGTTTATCTCTGGAAGGTGAGGCAGCATCTGAGGTAACCATAGAGTCTGAACAGGGTTTGGACTGTTTTTGTCTACTTGAGCCTTCAGAGTTAGCAAAACTATTATTATCATGCAAACCTTCAACATGTACATTAGATCTAATTAAGTTATTTAGGGAAGTATTCCCTCTATTTCCACCTCCATTTTAGATGTGATTAATCTATCCATATTAAAAGGACATTTAAGAAATAATAAATTAATTAATACATTTGTGATAAAATAAAAAATAAATGTGAAAAAAAAATTGAGAAAAAGTAGTTTCGTCAAAATATAATTTATTTTCTGCTGAATGAATGTTCTCAAACTAA